ACAGACTAGATTTTGGATGACATAATGTAATCTCACTTCTCCCTTATTGAAAGTATTTCTGATTTTCTCAGAGTGTATCATTTTCCTGTTGTGTTTTTTCTTTTTTCTTTTTTCTCTTTTTTTTCTTGTGATAGAAATTTGAAGCTGGATTATTGTTTTCCCCTTTCCCAAGTTTTTTTCTTCCAAGAGTTTCAGGGCTCCCAAGTAGAATGGCTTTCCAAACTGTTGAACCTAAGCATATTGTTAGAAGATCTCCATCTCTCCATCCTTTCTTTTTTTTTTTTTTTGAAAATGGAAAAGCACAGAAATCATTATTCTTTGGAGAGGGACACACAAATGTCATCTCAAACTTCAGATTCTGCTTGTTTCTGTGTTTACAGCAGATGGCCCTGGCTCAGTTGGCTGGCTTGGCATTGTAGTGGAAATAGTTCTGCTGTACTTCATACAGCTTTATTTACTGTCTCATTAATTTTAACTTTTCCAGAAGTTTTCCCTATTCAGAAGCCATTAGGGCTAGATCTCATGCTGCGTTAAGAATTTTTAAATTACAAGGCACAGAGTCTGTCATATTAGAGAAGCAAAACATCTATTTGATAGACTGACCCAAGTACAGTTACTCAGTTGCATTTTTTGTGATCTTGAAGATGGCCATCTTTGTTCTGTTAGCTCAAATTATATTAATTGTATATTTAAAAATTGTAAGTGATGCGGTCAGCCAAAATTGTCAGAGGGCAAAGATTGATGGTATATTTTAAATAAATAAGTATTCTAAAAAACGGGCTGTTTTCTGTTTTGTTTTCTGTTCTGTTACCTTTACAGTGGTAGTCTGTGTTGTGTATATTTATTTGCTAGTTTTGACCTTTTGACTCATTGCCTGTTCTGCAGATGTGAGCACTCACTTTGACATCTTGGCACTACCATTTGTCACTGAGCAAAACCTGCAAAAGAATCAGTATGATTTGTAGTGCATAGGTTGATTATCTGTCCTTCAGAAACCTCTTGAAGAAAGCTAAATAGCACCTCATTTATTGTTGCAAACAACAAAAAGTCTGTTGTGTCTGACTGCTGCTTATGTTTGAAGAGGGTTTTTCCTCCAAGACATGATTTGAAGTGCACTCATTTCCTTGGAGTTGTGGCTGGCAAAGGTTTTTCCTCACCACTTGATTCCTTTTTTTCCCCCCCATCTAGATACTTTCTTGTTTGTGTTTTTTTCTCTGACTTCTATAGTAGCACAGCCATAGCATCTTGAAAATGCTCTTCTTGCCTAATGCAATCAGTAATTCTGAATGGGATGAGCAGCAGCAGCTGTGAGTGAGGCTGTCACAAAAACCCATATGTAAGAATGACATTTACCAGAGCAAATCTCTAAAATGCCGGTCAAGGGCCTTTGTATACTTAACTTTGTGCTTTAGTACTGATCTGAAATTTTTAGAAGTATATATGTAAGAGTAGTAGGTCGGTTATATCTAATGCAGCAGATAGCTTAATCTAATTACATTCAAAGTAGGTTTGAGTGTTGCACTTCAGAGTATGTTGTTCTACTCTGCATTTTTGTGATTCTGGGGATATTTTTACTGTAGTTAAGATGGAATCCCAAACCTCCTGGAGAAATAATTGGAAGTCACTGCATGCTGGCTGTCAGGATGGATTTCCAACTGCTTGGATGGTTTCTGCTGCCTGAGATGCAACTTTGCTTCTGAAGGAAAATAACTAGAGAACACATGGGGACTTGCAGTTCTTTGGTGCCTGCTTTTCTCCCTATCTATTAATATCAAGCCCCGAAAGATTGCTGTTACCAGTTACATCAAACTCTTCAAACTGGGACTTAGTGTTGGGCATGTCTTTCTGTACCCGCATACTTACTGGACCTAGAAATTCCATCTCTTGCCAAGGTAAAGAGGGTAATGATCTCATTACCTGTAAAATATTAACTGCATTTAAAAATTTCTCCCTAAATACAGACTTAGGTATCCAGCTTGGCTTTCATTGTTGGCCTGGCAGTCTAAGTAAAGATAAGCAAAACAAAGACAAGGAGTTAGAAAAAGGAGCCAGATATCAACAGGGACTATATGTTTTTGCTAGGTAGTTGTGTGCACACTTCTTTCTTAGTTGATGTTAATTACTAACATTTTTGGATACTGCCCTAAAAAGGGGCCTTTTGAGAGATATGTGTTCATCATGACTTGACAGAACAAAATTGATGACGTTATCCTGGCCCGTTTGTTTTTATTGTCATTTGGTAAAAGGCAGAAAATTCAGACCTCAGAAAGTGCCAAAGTCACAGGTGTGAAACGCTAGTTTGATGTGAATAGCTTTCAATGCACATTATTGGAATTGAAAAAGTATCCCTCTGGGAAACTATAGGCGATTCCTTCTGGACATGGGCCTATTTTAATGTAAACTTGTATTCTAATATTATGGAATCTTAGCCAGACTTTTTTATTTTCAAGCATAGTGTCTAGAAACTTCTGACATTATTCCCTTACATCCTAATCCTCTGTTTGATTAAGTGTATCCCACTCTAGTTGTAGCCCATCAGATAAGCAAAAATAAAGCATGTTTCTTATAGTTGCTTCAGATATTTATCCAGTGTTGCCTTTTCTAGTAAATTCGTAAGTAAAAGCTTTTGGCTTGTGTTCATAATAAAAGTAAAGACAGGTGAAACAGCGTTTTAATGAGCCCTGTTCCTTGAAAAAAGAGTTTTCATTAAGAATTGTGTGTGTTCTTTTCTGTTACAATGCTACATAAAAAGTAAATACAATTAGCTCTTACATTAACTGCTAGCTTGTCTTTTTCTAATTTTTCTTTGAAAACTTGAATTTATCTTGTTCTTGGCAAAGAATTGGCAAGAAGGGGCTGGGTTTTTTTAAATTTTCGTAGCCAGTAGTGAAGAGCTCAGTGCTGCCTTGCACAGGGGGGCAGGTCACTGCAAGCCTTACTGATGACAGGCAGAAGTGCAAGGAGAGTAGCTCAGGCCTAGGGTCTACAGCACTCCAGCACCAGCTGGAGATTTTTTTTTTTTTTTTGAGCAGTTTGCTGTATTGGAGTTTTGAATAAGCCAAAAATGTTCTTGAGCACATGATCAAGACACACAAATTTGAAGCGACTCTTATCTTGGCTTCAGGAGAAAACAAGGCTGAACTTTCTTTTTTTGTGTATGTATATGGCTCTGTGTATTACTGTAAATGAAAAGTATTGCCTCTATTTGCATATATTTTAACAGGAAAGAGGTATTGCAACACAATTGATTTGTTGATTGTAGAAATAAATTGTGTGATTAAAATGCAAACTCTTTGTAATGACTACAGTGAAGGAGATTATTCATAATAAAGCTTGAAAAAGGGAAGCACTCTTTAGTAAAATTCCTGTAGCTGAATTCATTAAACTGTGAAGGCTAATTTCTTGCTTTGCTAAAAGTTTTCTCTAAAAAATTCATCTCAAGCTTGTTTTTAAATCTTGGTTTTAGTTTCAAATAGTTAAATTTGTTACAGGTGTAGAAACAATACTCAGTGTCATTTTAATGGTGTAGAAAAAGAGACCCCCAGAGTTTTGGTGTGCACTGAACAGCAGCTGAGGTGATGTTGGCCAAAGTGCCGAGCCAAACAGCTTCCCCGGGTGAGCCCAGAGTCCGTGGCGCTGTTCGCAGTGAGGCATACAGGGCCAGGCACGCTAGTCTAGAGCGAGAAGCGCGTCACAGTGGTGCCAGAACGAGCAGAGGAAACAAGTTTGGTGTCATCTTGGATTATGCTTCTAACAGCAGGACTTTCAGCATGCAAATCAGTTTGCTGCTGTGTATCTTCCACCCTAAAAAGCCTATGAAAAGTATTTATGGAGAGCATCTGGCTGCTTGTTTCTTTGGTGCGTGGTACTTATCTGTTCAGTATACTAAGAAATCTCTGCTACTTAATACCTGTTTGTTTCTTTTAACAACTCGACAGCTCTGCGGGCTGTGGGGTCTGCCTCATGCTGTTGATGACTTCTTGTGCTCCTAAGTCAGCTTTGAACAGAGGCTCTTAATGATTCAATCTGAATTAGGCAGGTCTGGATCTTGGACTGTGCAAAGCTGTTGAGCAGATTTAGAAAATCGGTGAAGCCTGAAAAGAGCCAAATTTGTTGGTCAAGATTAATGGTAGCAATGTTATAAAAAATAGACCAATTAAAATGTGAGTTAGGTGCTTTCACAGAAAAGGAGCTTATTATTTTCTTCTCTGCTCTGTTTTTAAGGAGGAAATAATTTCCTTGCTGTCACTTCTGTTGATAGTGTACAGCTTACTTCTCTGGACATTGTGGCTCTGCAGATTTAGCTTACTGTTATTACAGTCATATCACAAATCCAGTCACAGTTACTGAGAGAATAGCTTGAAGATCGACTTTTAGCTGCTGTCACATCACTTTTATTTTTGCTGATTTTTCTGCTGGTTTAGTGAGCTGTAATAATCACTGATTCTCTGTGCTGGTTCTTTTGCCAGCCCAAAAAAGGGGCAGAAGCACAAACACACAGCCAGGAAAGACAGAAGATAAGGAGAGGGGCAGTGAGCTCAGCCTTCTCTGGGACATGCATCCTTGCAGTGGCCCTGGTATAGCAAAACTGTAATATAAAGCACAGCAACTATGGTCCTGCTTGTCCTTAGTCACATGTTTCTGCCCCTTTGCTTGTGTGACTGTAACAGAATGAGCCAGTTTAGGGAAGGCTAGGCTGAAAACCAACAGTTTTATTTTTGCTGTCACTTGGTTTTCAGGCAGATTTTCCTGAGCTAGGTCACATATTCACTCAGCATCAATGCCAGCAAATGGGAGCAGGCAGGACCATGGCAGTCTGTCCCTCTCTCGCCCCCCTGAGTTTCAGACTACAGCTAGAGAGCAATTAAATGATTCAAGTGGTATTTTACAGATATGTATGTGTGTGAAATGAATTACATAATCTGACCTGAATCTGAGACTTGAAGCCATGTAGAATGCAATTTAATGTGAATCATTTTTTTTCATACTTTATTTTATAGTTGCTGCTAACTTACAGAAGATAGTAGATGATCCTAAGGCCTTGAAAACATTGACTTTTAAGTTGGTAAGTAAAAGCTGCTAAGTATTGGGTAATGCAGTAAATACAGCTTCAGAAACAGAAGTGTTCCCTTACTGAAGCTGGGCACCGAAAAACAGCCTAGCCTGTTAAATCTTTTAAAAATAAATCAATTATGGTATGCAAACTGTCTGGCAGAACCTTGAAATCTGTTTCTTGCCTTTTCTACATCACAAGAAAACACTCTTGAAGACTTGAGCTTGTGATGCTTGAACAAAGCTTTCTATCTGTAACAGTATCTCTTCTGATTCCCTGAGGTTAAGAGCATCAGTATAATCGTGCCGTTTCCCATTCTCTCCCTACTTCTCTAATATATTTTTTAATCTGTTGCATGATATCACCCGTAAAGTTGTTGAAAATAATTAAATAGAAGGGAAATTCAATGGAACTTCTAGGATTTGCAGGGAGAAAAGAAAGAGATGATTCTTAGAGAAAGTTGCAAATGAACTTGCATGAGTCAGAGAAATGGAATAGAGAGTGTTAACCATCTAAGAGACGTTCTCAGAATTTGTGAATTATTATTGAGACTCATCAGGTTCATCAGCTGAAAGAAGTCTGTAGAAAAGACAGATTCATTAATTTTAGCATTCATAGTACTGATTTTAGATTTTTAGATTTAGCATGGACCAAATACACCAGTGGTTTGTTCTGGGAGGGAGCTGTGCAAGCTGATCTTTTAGTTTTATAATGCAAAGAGGTATTAGGTTGCATTTTTAAATTATCCAGAAGCTCTTGAAAGGAATTGTGGGATAATTTAGCTTGATATGAAGATTGTCTGACTTGCTTTGCGTAGTCTACTTGTGTCCTCAGGTGTTTTGGTAGGTGACCAGGTTTGTTAGGTTACCGAGGTTTGTTTTTAACCTAAGTTTCTTCCTCATACTTTTAAGCTAGATTTCCTGTATTAATTCACTACTTTATGGCAAAAGAATATACAAAATCATGAGAACCTAATTTGTTCTTATCCTTGGATTCATTTAATGTACATTCTATTGTCTGCTCCTGTATTATTCAATAGGATTGCTAATTGAATTGTTTCTTAGGAGAACCTCTTATCTTTCTATTTGTTCTCCTGAGTTTTCGTTACCTCTTAGCAATCTCTTGTGGCATTTGAGAGCACTTGTATGCAACTTCATTAAAACACATTTCATTGGTAAATATTTCATGGTGATTCAAAGCCTACATGTAACTAATCTTGTATCCATTCAGAGAGTTTTATCTGAAAAGCATTCTCTAATCTAGGTTTATTTATTATTTTTTCTACACAGTAAATCAGTTTCTCAGTACTTGCAGATTGCTTCTCATGTCTGAATGCATGTGTTTTTACGGTTTGATCTGCTTCTTCACATTTTTAATAGTGCATATTTGTTCTTAAAATTATGTCATACTGTGGAATTACATAGCATTAAATGTCCTTTAGTTGTCTTGGCTAACACATATTATGATGTGTCCGCAGTATTCACATGTCCACATTTTGGGAAGGCAGTTGCTATAATGCACAAGTAATCTTGGTAATAGTTGAAGTAAACACAGATATATTGTGCAGTATAATTTGTATTTTAAGATTTTTTTTTCTTAAGTTTGAAAAATGGCAAAGAAAAAGAAGCATTCAGTCCCTAAGACCCTAGTCCCTAATACAAGGTAATAGGTTCCAGGGTGCATTAGGTATTAGAAAATATTTATTGATAAGGAAAGCATTTTAAAAATCTAGATTGATCTAGATATGTTACTTAGCCTGGCTTTGAGGGGGGCATTGATAGCTAACTAGAATGAAGAATGATGTTAATAGCAACTTCTTTTTTTATCATGGTATTTTAAGTACAGAATTCAAACACCATTTATTTAGTAAATTCCCCATCTAATAAGCATTGAAATACTTTAATAGTAACAAATGGTAATGGGCTCAAATGTTTAACTTACTGCTTCAGCAAGCAACCTGTAAAATATTCTGCTCTGATCAGAGAGGACTTATTCTCCCTGTGTGATAAAAATAAGCGTGAAACAGAAGTAGCCTCCTGTAGTGCTTCTACAAGTAGCAAGTATGTTTATTTTTGTTCATGAAGAAAACAGCAAATGTCGTACGTATTTTGTGGGCATGATCTGAGAGATGTTTTTCTGATAACTGCATATACACATGTGCACCTATGTGCACCTATGTGCACATGTGCTTTCAACTACAATAAATACATAAAAGGATCAAGAGCATATTACAGGATGAGCCAATTGTTTTAACAGTTTATTGGGGCATATGCCAAAGGGAGTGCTAAGGAGCCCTTCACAAGTAATTTTCCATTACCATTCATTTAACTGACTACTGTAATTTATGCATCACAGAGGTGAAGATTGCACAAAAGGGCTGCATTAAAAATGTCATTACTTCTGAGCTACAGAAATAAATCTTGTATTTAAGAAACTATCAAAATATTTTGCCTATAGAAGGATACATTTATTAGAGCATATCTAGAGCAACAGTTCAGTACCAAGCAAAGTGTTTATATTCTTCCTGTTATTTGTGACAAATGTGACAACTGAACACAGTACAAATTGTGCCAGTTTGTACTGCGGCAGACTTCATTAAAGAATTGCAGCTACACAATCTGAAGTATTAAATGATACTGTCAAAGAGAAGGCATCCTTTTGCAAATATTATTGTTTACTCTTTACAGACTGCTTCAATCTCAAAAATTCAGTGGATGGATCAACAGACTTGACAATTGTATTATGAACCTTTGCACACATTTGGTGTCTGCACAGTAGTTAGAAGCCAGAATCTGTACATGTTGGGTTAGTCACTCTTCACAAGTGAAAACAGCATTTTTGTTTCGGGCTTTTTTAAAAGTCCTCCTTCAACTAAACTGTTTTTTAACCAGGCAATGTGGGGAGAATTTATAGCCTGGCTGTCAAATCCTCCTTTTTAACATGATGCACTAAATGTTTCTGTTTGTACTTGCAGGCCTCTGGCTGTGATGGCTCGGAGATTCCTGATGAAGTGAAGCTGATTGGGTTTGCTCAGTTAAGTGTCAGCTGATGTCTGTCCCTTGACCCCGAGCTGAATTGTGAGATTGCGAAGAGGCCAGCTTAGATGCAAAGGAAAATTAAGCACCACATACTGAGTTCTGCTTCATTCTCTAGCAATTCACAAAGTCAGAAAAAGCAAAGCCCACAGCTATACCACTGCTGCTAACATTCAAAATGCTACTAAATGTCTCTTAGCAGTTGATTTGGATTCCCCCTAAGCGAGAAGCCTGTGGAAAAGCACTCAGGTGGCTGTATTTATTGGTTACAAAAGGAATTTTCTATCAAGCTTACTTCTTTCATAAACTTTTGAGTGACACAATTTTACCTGTACTTGTGGTTGATCATACTGCCTCTGTTCTGTTGTATTTAGAAATTACCATAAATACAAAAGTTAATTATTAGCCAAACTTGAATTCTAGTTTTAAAACTGTGAATTTTATTTTTCATATATTTATGCATTACATATCTTAAAATGATTTAACTTGATTATGTGCTATTTGCAATTGATCTCCCATTATTTAAAAAAAAAAAGTTTCAGGTATATCCTTGATATATTTGGTAAACTACTTTTTTTTTTTTAATTAGTTAACTAGGTGTTAGCAAGCTGTCACTGGGTGTGTGTCTTAAAAACAATCCACAAACTGATTGTCAAGGGTGTGGGAGGTGCCTTGCATACATTAATGTTTCCAAGAATGTGCCTGAGGCTGCTTAAATCCAGAATATTCTCCATTTTCTAGATGTACCATATATATGGGATTATATAGCTATCAGAATAAGGAGAGGATATACAGAAGTAAAAATGTTTGACAATTTTGAGGTAAACTATGCTTTATTGGGGAGTCTATGAGCTAGAACTGCTATAAAATGTTGTCCTTAAGGTAGCCTGCTTACTGTGCCCATCTCTGATTTGATCTATCCTGAAGGGATAGAAACAGATTTCATACTGGTGTGATAAAACTTGAACAGAACTGAAGCTTTACTTGAAATTCTGCAAAATACCAAGGTGAAGTGAAAATAATAGGGCTTTGTGCAATGATCAAGTAAAACTCTGTTACAAAGAAACCACTTCTGACCCAAATAGTCTTGCGCTTAACCTGTGACGTAGGTGCAAGCTTTAGAAGGATTCTCAAATTTGGAGACCTATTCCTAGGATGTTACAACTTAAGCTACTTCCTAGCTAATCCTAGTAAAGGGCAGCTCTTTAATGTACTGAAAACGGCAAATATATATTATTATGAGAAGTTATTTATAATGCCTTGTCATAATTGTTGAGGTGTTCTAGAGCCATTTGCATACAACTCAATGTAATTTCATTCCATTCTATTGTTTACATAACAATTATTCCAAGATGACTGCGAAGGTTAAAACATAAAAATAAAAATAAACGTGTATTGCACAACCAGATTTGTATTCTGAATTTCCATGTTCTGCATGCGTGCTGGAGCGGTGTTACAAATGCGTGCTGCCTTGCTTTAGTTTGGTAAAAATGGCACCAGCTAAGAGGACCAAGTCGTCTGGAGTGGAGAGAGGTGACTGTTTGCGGGCTCCCCGGAGAGTGTTTCCTGTACCACTCGCACTCCGGTGAGCTGTGTAGGAGCCTCAGCCCCGCACAGGTGTCTGTACCTGAAGGGATTACCCTGTGCCCGGCCAGATGACGGCCGTCGCTTTGGGGCGGGGGCAGTAACAAAACGGCTGCTCCTGCGCCTTGCCGGGTACCTGGCTGAGACGGGGAGCAGGTTGTGAAGCAGCAGGTTTCCTTGTGCATTGGCAATTCCGGTGAGTTAATAAAAAGATACCATAAACCTCAATCTTCTAGTGAAATGGTTGGCAACCTGCTGTTATCAATGGTGAGTTATACATTTGGGTTGGATTGCTGAAAAGGATGCAAAGAATTAGGTTCAAGACGAGCTCCTGTGCAGCTTTGGGGGGCCTTCTGTGTGTCTGGATAATAAAGAATCTAAACTTTAATTGAAGCAGTGAACAGTACTGTGCCACAGTGCAACTATAGCAGCTGTTGTTCTCTTCTAGTTTGATGCAGAAATATGAAAATGCTTCACTGATTTTCCTTGGTTCATTGAGACAGCAAATTCATGCAGCAGAGTTCTGAATCACAGCTGTGTGGGTGCTGCGAGGTTGTGGGTTGTTTTTAACCTTGTTTTTCTGCTGCCACTAAGATGTTAGAAATAAATCTTATGCGAGGGAGATGACTTTAGAAGGAAAATGGTCTGAGCTAAAAGGTGTAATTAAAGCTTTATAGCCTATTAATATGAAATTCATGAAGTAAATTCTGCTCCCAACTTTTTATGGACAGATGAAGAAAATAAAAAAATACATGGTAAGTTGTAAAAGAAAGAAGTGTGCGAGTGATGAGTAAAAATAGAAATATACATCAAATCTAGTAGGAGTTTGCTTCTTTAATACACTATTCACATTCTCTGTAGAATAACAAAGGAAAAAAATGGCAACTATTGAGTTGATCATCTTCTTAGGAAGAGGATATAAGAGGTGGATACACTTTCTCATTAGTACCATGAGAATTGCTCCAAAGCAATGGTGTACCTTACAAAGGTGTTGCTGGGCAGTGGGTTGTGTCTGATGGTGGATAGAGCACCTGCAGCTCTTTAAGAAAGATGTGTCTTAGTTAACTGGTTGAAATTTGGAGCAGGTGAGCTGCTTACTACACAGCTGTTTCTGAGGCCAGGCAAATGGGGCTTAATCAGTTCCACAGTCTGTGCAGCAATGGTTGTATGCTGCTGCTTGCAACAGGCATTTGCAGGCTCTGTGGAGCCAGACATTTCACTGCTTTCTGCCTGAGTGTTTTGGAAGTTGCTCTGCTTTGTTGATTGGGATGAAAACTGAAAAATGAGGAGAAATAAATCGCTGTAGTTGATCATGACTTCTATGTATTAAAAAGGTCTAATATAAATATATAACATTTCATAAAACCAGGTCTGGAGAATAACTGGTGTGTGTGTGTATAAAGGAGGGGGGCAGAAGTGATATTTTCAGCCTTTTATCTTCTGAAATTCCAGCATGGGCACTAGACCAAGAAAGCTACCTCCCAGTTTCCAGCAATATATGCTTTTCATGCAAAGCAAATAGTAAGATATAATGTGTCTTTCCTTGTGCTGACCTCAATGCAACACATTTCACCCGCATGTCCAGAGAATTACATTCAAGCCGTAATGCAACTAACTATAGCTAATGATAATTATTTCTGAGTCCTAGAAATACTATTCCAAATGTTACTGTTATTTCCTGTAAAGAGCTGTCTGCAGAGCACACTTCTGCTTTGTGCTTGGGGCTTGAGCTTAGGATTGGGGTTGGAATAGGAAGATGCCACATAGATAACACTGCTGAATTTTCCACGTTCCCTTTGAGATCAAGGCCTTCTCAGCTTTATGTGATGTAAAATCATTAATTTGGGGGCTTGCAAAGCATTGCTATAGAATCTCATCATGTGCTACTGCTTCAGATATTTTTGAACACCGCTGTTTCCCTATGAGGGAGAAAACAGAATGTAGCTTGCAAATTGTGTGCTTCCCCTGAAGCTTTTCCTAATCAGAGATTTGTTTTCCTTTTTGCTACCTACCTCCACATAATGATGTTGCTGAGATAGGCCTGTGCCTGAATCAGTTAGCTGTGATGATGAGTCTGACACAGACCTAAAACACTGCTAATTGAGTACATTGAAAATGCAGATTTTGTTTAGCAGAGAGCAGAGGATGCTTTTTTTTTTTTTTTTTTTTTTTTTTTTTTTTTTAACCCTCCCGTGTTTTTTTGCCCAGGCGAACA